CCCCCCACTTCCCCATGCCTTGCTCCCCAAGGTGCCCCACTTCCCCTGCACCCCACTTCCCCCAAGCCCCTGCTCCTTAAGATGCCCCACTTCCCCCCCGTGCCCTCCTCCCCAAGGTGCCCCATTTCCGCTGCACTCCACTTCCCCTGTGCCCTGCTCCCCAAAGCACCCCACTTTCCCTGCACCCCACTGCTCCATGCCCCGCTCCCCAAGACACCCCACTCCCTCCCACTTCCCAAGGCTTCCTGCTCTCGCAGGGCTCTGCTCCCCATGCCGCTCTGCTCCCGTGATGTTAGTGGAAGGTGAGCTGAACACACAACTCGCTGTCGCCTGCACTCCACTTCCCCTGTGCCCTGCTCCCCAAAGCACCCCACTTTCCCTGCACCCCACTGCTCCATGCCCCGCTCCCCAAGACACCCCACTCCCTCCCACTTCCCAAGGCTTCCTGCTCTCGCAGGGCTCTGCTCCCCATGCCGCTCTGCTCCCGTGATGTTAGTGGAAGGTGAGCTGAACACACAACTCGCTGTCGCAGCCCCCCCCGGGCTCAGAGGAGCTGTTCTGTGAAGCGCTGAGTCATGCATGGACAGTCACTGGACTAACTCCATCTGGGGACACCCCTTCACCCCCCGGGGGCTCCTCGGTTTCTCTGCATTCCGGCTCATCCCCTCGGCAGGATCCCTGCGAGGGACGGAGCCCGGGGGACGACGGCCCAGCCTAGCAGAGGGCGTATTCCAGAGACGTAACCTCATTCCACCTCTGCCGCCAGCCTGCCCCAGGGCCTTGCAGAGGTGCATGCCGTTGGGTTCCTTTAACCATGTTAACTCTCCTGCTTTCCTTTTATTAGCAAATGTTAGATGTGAGAGGCTAAAACAGGGCGGGGGCCCTTCGGGGGGCTGCTGACCCACAGAAAATCAGTCGGGGGCTGCAGAGAAGTGAGAGAAAACCCCCCCAAACCAGCCGCTCACTGACATGGCCCCCGACGGAGAGGGAGAAAACTCTCCCACAATCCTCTAGCACACCAGCACTGGGGGGGCAGGTGAGTAGATTTTGGGCGCTCCAGCCCCACCAGGGTCAGCGGGGGCTGGAGCGCCAGCATGGGCTCCCTGAACCTTGGGGGCCGGATTCAGGCAAGCCAGGGGCTGCAGCTGCCCCGTAGGCCTGAGGTTCCCCACCCCGGTCTAAAGATAAAAAGACAATATATAGGAAAGGACAGAGGCAGTATAGAAAGGAATTACCCTCCCCTCCGGGCAAGGTGCTGTTCCGGAGAATGGGCGCGGCTGAGGGGAGGGCGTGTGTGGTGCTTGCTGGCCGGTGTGCTGCTCCGTGGGCCCGGCTGGGGAGAGGACCCCAGGGGTGATGGTAAGTGGCCCTGTCGCTAAGGAATTTGCCCAGATTGGACCCTCTCAGCGGTGCCCCCAGAATTACACCCATGGCGCCCCACTTCCCCAGCGTGACACTCCCTGTGGCACCCCAATGCCCCGGTGCATTGCTGTGCTAGGGCACCCCGCCCCGGCACCCTGAGCCCCCCGATCCCCTTGGCACCCACCAGGAGGCCTCAGCCTCCATCTTGCTGCCTGGGTCAGACTGGGCGTGTTCTGCCCCCCCTCCCCCACAGGCACCACCATCTTGTTGCATGGGTCAGACTGGGAGGCCGTTGCGGGGGCGGGCCACTGAGGCAGCCCCGTTCCCATTGGGCACCGGGGGCTGTGATGCTGGGCTCTGCCAAAGCCCCCTGGGACGTAGTTGGGGGGCTGTTTACACTAGTGGCCCATGGCCCACGCTGTTGGGCAGTCGCTGGTTGCTGTGTGGGCTGTGGGTGCCCCCTACTGGCCTGTGTCTGTAAGCACTGCCCGGTGGGGAGGGGGTCCCTGAGGGCTGTGCACTTAGACCATGACTAGCAACTTCTCACTTCACTTAGTCCATGGCCCAGCCGGTTCTCACCTGATGAGGAAAGGGGTCTGAACAAAGGAAGGGGGTGGCTTGCAGAAGGGAGTTTTTTTGGCTGGAAAACCATGCAGAGAACAGACTAAGCAGAGTGCTGGGAATTCAGGGACCTAGGCACCCCTGCCCCACGGGGTCTAGGGCTGCCAGCCCCAACTCCTTATGTCCACATCTCGTCTGTGCTGCGCTGTATCCCTCTGTTCTAGTGCCTGGCGGAGCCTGTTCTTGCTGCAGGGTTGGGGGATACCCGACATGCCCCCGCCCCCGCCGGGGCGGCGCGGGGTCCGCCCCGGCCGCGAC